CCTCCTAAACATAGGACCCCCGAAATGAAGGCCCAGAGGCCGAATCAGGACATCACCTGGACATCACTTGGACATATGTCGCAAATATCATCTATAATTAGCCAGCTGGAAACACTTTTGAACATCTTTTTGGTGGCTATTTCCACAGATATGGCTGACTTCGCCCGAACATCTGACCTAAATGGTCAAACACTGTCAATCCTTAGAACACAATCTCGGTCAAATAGGATGAGGGACCAAACGCATCAGCCATCATCACCCCATGCTCTTGGTCAAGTTCCTAAAGTTTTTCACAGGTGAAGTTCCATTTTTGCTGATTAAGGTCCCAATTTTGGCGAGTGAAATCCGTCTGATGCTGTTGCTTAACCCCAATGTTGGTCAAAACGCTCCATTTAAGCGAGTTAAAACACTGCTTTTGAAGGTCAAACCACATCTTGGTTGCTACAGTTCAGCCAGCATTTGTGTTGCTGGTTCGAACCATTCATCTTTTATGGTAACATCCAGAATGTTGTCATCATTAAAAATTAGATATGATTTATGCAGTTGATCATGAGAAGGATTTTGCAACTTTATATTATACAGAATATAACATATATATAATATCTAATGACATCAATGTACATGAACACCAGCCCTAATATCAAGTATATATCAAGAGTTCATATAGCATATTGATTATTGCAATTTGGATACCATGAGCTGCGGCCAAATTAGCCACGAGACCACCACGAAATTCTGAAAGGCCAAGATTTTCTGCACTGGGTACTGCGTCTGTCAGGCAGACGGGGAGGCATTGCAATTAGTAAGTTGTTTTTAACCTATATGTTGGGGGTTCCATAAATCGGGGATCCCCAATAGCTGGATGGTTTATAATGGAAAATCCTATTAACATTGATGATTTAGGGATGATTTAGGGGTACGTACCCCCATTTTAGGAAACCTCCATCTATAAGCCATAAAAAGCCATAGATCACTGGGGATATTCCACTTTAGTGGGCGATCTATATGGACACAAGTCAGGAAACCATGATCTTATAATATCTTCAACCCTCTGGTAAACGTTTACATAGCTATTGAAAATGGCCATAGAAATAGTGAGTTTTGCCATTAAAAATGGTGATTTTCCATAGCTATGTTAGTTTACCAGTGGGAAATTCACTTATTGAGATGAGGTGAGACACAATAACCCATAAATGATGTCTTGTTGACAGTTGGTAGTAGGGTTTTCCTAATGACTGTTTCATGTGGACTGTGACACAATACTGAATGGAAACCCAACAGGTAGGCAAACTGTTTGAAACGCATACACTGAATAGGCTGAATAGGGTTTATATGGGTTTATGTTTACGGCTGAAAAATCAGCGATTCTGGATTTATAGACTGGGGAGTTTCATCTTGTACCCGATCATGGGTAACCTTTGTTACCTGGCAAAACTCAATACGGATTTAGAACCAACGCAGCACACAGGAATTTTACCAACCTAGATGGGGATTTCGCGGTTTACCTTTTATGGACATCAGTCAAAATTATGTGTATGTATGATTATCAAAATAATATATATATATATTATATTATATATTATGTATATGTATATGTACACAGTATTTTGTTACTGCTCTAGTCTCAAGAAAACAAACTCTTAACCCCGCTTAATCTATCGAACCAAGGTTTATCGAGAAATGGATTTGGAATCCTTTTGATGATTTCTTGTGGTGACCAATGTCAAGGCTGCACTGAGTAGCAAGCACAAAGAAGGGCTGGAATTATCAATAAACTCGGTGAAAAGTATCCAAGTGGTCCGATACCAAAAATCAACTAAGGTCCACCACGACCCGCAAGCGCCTTGAGCGTCTGTGAAGATTTCTTCCTCTCTGTCAGCACATTGGACAGACAATGGATGAAATGTTCACCTGGCCGTTGCAGCCTGAGATACAATTGACGGCAAAAAAACAGGTTGCGAACTGGTTCTGCAGGTTTGCTTATTGCAATATGATGGATTGTTGGCAAATAGAAGCATCAATGGGTTTTAATATGTTCCCTTAACAAACTATAAGATACTATATTAAAGGGTTTCTCTGAAAATAGGATCCCCCACATCCATTGGTTAGTCAAAACTGTCCTGGGAACCCCTTTTTCAGAGAAACCCATCATATTATGAATAGGGTGAGTATTACCATAGTATTGTTACCATAGGTTTGTAATATTATTGGTACTTATTACCATGACCATAATATCACTATTATTACTATCCTATTACGCAATATTACATTAGGTTAGTAAAACCCACTTAATCAACGATCTCACCCCCGGGGAGATAAAATTGTGTGCACCTTCTTTGGTGAAGGTCGCAGCAAAGAGAAGGTCGTTGCCCAGCACCATCAGTGAGGTGATATGCCCATCCTTTTAGAGCAAACAAGGCAGGCAAAAATGGTGTCATGTGCTGATGTGTAGTGTAAAAATGAAAATATGATATGAATATACATATGGACTATATACAGACTACATACAGACTATATAATACTATGGACTGACACAGACTAAATACAGACTATATATGGACTATCTACAAACTATATGCAGACTGTATATGGACTATATACATATATGTATGCTTCAATCAATTAATGTAAATAAATAAATAAATTCATTAACTAATTAATATAATATAATATATATATATATATGTAGACATGTAGTACATCTATGTATACATATAATGTGGTTAAAACAATAATAAACAATCCCATTTTTGACGGTTGATACCACCCATGCATGGTAATTTAGGGGATGGTTTATTGTTATTTTACCCACATTAGATAAATATATATATATAGATATGTAATTATATGGTGGTTTCCTGAAACGGGGGTACCCCTAAATCATCCATTTGAATAGGATTTTCCCTTATAAACCAACCATTTTGGGGATCCCCCATTTATGGAAACCACCATATGCACGGTCCAATGGTGCATTCCCCTTCTTGTCCAAGCCGCGAAGCGGCGCGTGAACATTGGGGCAGTGGAGTGTCCCAGATCTCCTGCGTTGTAAAACCTGAACGGAAGATCAGGGCTTGACCCTGCCTTAAGCCTGGGTTAACATGGGTTAGTTCTGGTTAATAAATGTTTATAGTGATTGAATGGGATTTCATCGTTTTTCTTTCATGTGGTAAACCCTATAAGCCTACAATTTGTCCATTTGGGGGATGATATGTCTGATCCATTTGTGACTATATTAAGAGGATAGTGGATTAATGGTTAATAGAAGTTAATGGTGATTCATAACGGTTAATAATGCTTCATGGTTCTTACAGTAATGGTTATGTATAACTAACCTATAACTATGGGATTTTTACCCATAAATCGGAATATAACCTTGGAGTGAAACCCTAGCCTCAGAAGAAGGTTTCATGTGCATATGATTGGCTTATAATGGGTATATACTTGGATGGGATAGGATCTAAGCAACTAATATGATAAAATGTGTTTTGAGGCTTCGTCTGAAAATTGGGTACTCCGGGCACTCCGCTCAGCAAAATCAGCATGTTTGAGCCACACCCAAATAGCCATAGAAACTGGCACTTATTTCCCAATGATTTGGCACGTGTTTACCTATTTGTAGAAAAAATGAGAACTCAGGGTCAGGGTGTGCATGGAATGCTTGTACACTAAATAAAACATATGATCATACTTTTAAAAAACACATGCGCATGTTTCTACATCATGCATGTGTATATAATGCGTATACAATGTGTATATAATGTGAATATAATGTGAATATAATGTGTATATAATGTGTATACATTATACATCTTGCATGTATACTTACGTATGTAGCTTGTACTATGTAATTATACTCTTTATGGTTTTTAGTATGTGTTTGATTGCTTTATATGTAAAATGTTAAGTTCGTTTTTTTAATCCACCCTAATTGAAGCCCTGTCTCCGCCCGGGTTTGGGGGCAATTATGTAAGTGTCCGCCCCCCCAGAATCTGCTGCGACCCCCACTGTTGGAGAAGCCCTGCTCCGACCCCCAGGTTTCTAGTGTTTCCAATTTGGTATTCCTCCCTTTCATTTCTAATTGGAGCTGCAATTTTCAGGGTTGCTCACTGACACTTCCCTATACTAATTCCGATGCGGTGCGCCTCTTATCCCTGATCTCTCACATGGTGTGTTTCACTGTCTAAGAAAAACAACTATTTGTCTAAAAACAGCAGCCCTGAAATGATCAATCTCGTTACTTTTGTCATAGATGATAATGATATCCTTGGAAATTCACAAAGGGTACCCCTGCATGGTGTACTCCCACCTGATAACAGCCACTCCGCTCCAATAAAACCATATATTATAAAACCCATCTCAAGCCCGTGGATTTATTGTTCATCATTGTTTCTTCCTGTTTCCGTGCCTTTTCCTTTTCTTTTCATCCTTCAAAGGATTCAACGGTGGTGTTTTTGACCCCTGGTTGACCTTGTTGACCTTCTCAGGGGTGCCGGTCGCATTTACTGTAAAACGCCGTGTTTTTTTCATCTTTCACAGTCGCTTCATGTTTGAGAACCCTCAAAAAAACACGGCAAGGGCCTCTCAAAATGAACTTGAATTGGTTTTCGCATGTTTTCGCAATAGCGAAATTGTCATTTTTGGGAAATGGTCTTTCGAAAACTTGTCAGCGTTATCCATCCGCTAGTTTTTTCACTTCCTGATCTCTTAATCAGTTTCAGTAGCCGATGGTTTGGTTGACCGACTTCATGAGCACTGAGCATGCCCAGCTCTTTCAACAGATCTAGGCCATATCCTGCTTTGCAGTGTTTCCAGTACCAAATCCAGACATATCTGTTGAGGTGCAACTTCAATTGGTCTCCTGTCAACTCGCGGGTCCAGAGCTGTATGGGCAACGAAGACTTCATAACTTCAGACCGTCCCCAAATTCGATCTTGCAACGTAGCATCAAGTGTGTCGGCAAGTGCAAGACAAGATCTTATAACGCAAGATTGTGCGTCCGCAAGTTCAAGAGAAGAGCATCAAATGTGTCGGCAAGTGCAAGAGAAGATCTTGCAACGTAAGATGGAGTCAAGTGTGTGTGTGTGTGTGAACAAGAAAAAATATAAAAAGAACCTAACCTAACAAGAACGTTGATAGCTCCCCCCAACCCCCCAATCCCCCCCCGAAATCCGCCCTCATGACCATGAGGAAACCGACAACAGTGCGGTCGCCCGAGGGGCGCCGTCACCAAAAACATGGATATACAGAGATACCTCATATAAACATCTTCTTGTGGAAACACCAGAAGTGTAGTCGTCATTCAGGTGCAGTTGCTGTTGCAGCAAATGTTCGGACAACACCCTGCAGTGAAATACTGCAGTGAAGGAGGTCACTCCCGAAACGACCATCTGGGTTTGTTGAGTATTTCCGATAGTTGTACTGTTTTAAAACGACGACGACGACGACGACAACCACAACCACAACCACAACCACAACAACAACCACAACCACAACCACAACCACAACCACAACATACCACAACCGTAAATTGGGGCCAGAATCAACATATGTTGCTGACCATGGTGTCCATGGCCATCTTGCTTAGAACATTCACCTACTTTGGGTAAACAATGGGTCAGGGCTGCCGCGATAAAGGAAACAAAACCCCCCAAAAAAGAACTGTGTCTGAAATGGCCAAAAATATGCAAGTCGAGGGGCAGTCAATGGTCAAAAAAGAATCCGTTTTGCGGGTCGAGATAAACACAGACTCAGTTGGTCAGATTGAAATCCGCAATTTCACTCTGTTCAAAAAATTATATATTCATAGGGCTATGAGTCAAAACCCTTGCACGGTACCCTAGAATAGCGGCATGGTGAATGGATATCCATTCCCACAAACAATATGGTAATACTAGGTTTTGACCCATCCATCTCCCGTAACCTCGAATCTTTCCTCAAAGAAATACGCGAAGACAACAGTGTCGGTGCAAATGTTCGGGACAGTCGCATGCCAAGGCGCCGTAGTGTCGCATAGTTCATACCATGCCATGATCTCCTAGATACTCAGGGACTTCACCAGCACAAATCGAGATAATTAATGGGCCAATGGGATATAAATAGGATAATTGTAACCATGTTGGTTGATGTAGTGGTCAGTATCGGTACCTCCTTATTGTCAAGTCGTATATATGTCAACAATGATGGTTGTTTGCTTGCAAAACCTAACGAAAGGGAGGCACCTTATACATGTACTAACGGACCATCTAAGACCAACGTCAACTCGATCAACCGCCCAAAAAAAGGCCTCCCTTGGGCGATATGTTCACCACTTCTATCTTGAAACCACTCAGCCCACATTGTGATTATAACATCATTGATTCCCTTCTTTTTGGTGCAACAAAACCGCAATCATTAATTGTAATCATGTGTCTTCCAGCAGCAGGTGATGTACCTTGTGGTACTAAAAGATGGCAATCGAAAATCCACCATCTATGGACGATAGTTTCCCATCTAAAAACAATGTTCAAATGACATAGAGCAGCAGTTGGTGAAATGTAGTTCCCACATGCTTGAAGAACACTGCATTTTGCGGTGTTTCATGCATGTCATGGTGCATGTCTGTAAAGTCATTTACAGTGTTTTATGCAGCGCAACAGGTGAAGAATCACATCCGAGAGAGAGATTTTCGAAGATTTCCCCGATTTTCCGCAGGTGGAAACTTCCTCGTTTTCCCACCCCAGTCTTGGAGGCAATGACGATGGTCTTTGGCGGAAGGAATGCGATGGCGTCCACTGCCTCCTGAACCGGAGCTCAGCGCTAGGCTCCGGCGATTAGTGTATACGGAGTGGTTTCTATGGTGGTTATGGTTCTATGGTGGTTACAGTCGAGGGCTGAAGTCAGAGCAATTTTCTTGGTTACACTAGAGAGAACCCACCCCTCGCACTGCAGACTACTCTTCTGCCAGCACTACTTTGCATTACAAAAAATCATTCTGCCAGAATGGTTTGATTTGAGAAGGAGTAAGACGGAGTGAAAAAAGGAAACAATGAAAAGAAACAAAGTAACAGAAGAAGATAAAAGAAGGAACAAGCAAAGAACACAAACAAAAACAAGTGCTGAAAATACAACCGAACGACCCCCCGAACGACCCCCGAACGACCCCCCGAATGACCCCTGAATTATGAGTTGTCAAACGCAAGACCCAGGGCCATCATTGACCGCAACATGAAGTGCGGAACTCCCTGCGCCACCGCACCCCTGCTTCATCCCGAACCACCAAATAAAGACATGAACGTCCCTCCCATCCAACAGAGGTATGTAAGAGGAATGACCAAAGGGACGTTTCCCCCATGTAAGCTAAATATGCTGGAACAACCTCAGCAAATAATGTATACATATATTAATATATAATATATATATATGGTCATCCAAGTACATGGATTTGACCCACAAAAGCCTCTAAAACGACTCAACAAATCACTGCAAATCTTATAGGCACAGCCACAATCGCTACGAACCCCCCTGAAGAGCTTCGCCCAATAGTATGGACTCAAAAGCAAAGAATCGCTACGACTTTGACCCTTGACTGTATCGTTCTTGATATTTCTTTGGTTTTCATGGTTCCTAATTTATATATATATAAATACATATATATATATATACAGTTCTGTTTACAATGTGTACCCGGTTCTAAATGATGTTTTGAGGGGTATTCCTGGTGTCTTGATGGGGTTGTGTATAGTTGAAGGCTTGTTGGCTATGTTTGAATGGGTGCTTGACATATGTGTATTTATGCATATATATAAATAATTATATATATATAAATACTTATATTATATATATATTAATCGTTTTCAAGAGGGTATTGTACAGTGCGTTGCGCCCAATTGATAGGTGAGAAAATCAAACCTAAACCAGCTATTAGGTGATGTTTCTTGTCAAGATTACTAAGTTAGGTGAACCACCAACTATATAATTATATAGATAGAACAGTTAGTGTCTAACTAGACGATTGGTTTTTTAGAAATACGATATCTACTAGATATCTGCACTTGAATCTGAAAAATCATGGGGCCCGCAGGGCCCCACCTTTAACATATATATAGCTATGGAAATTAGCTATGGAAGCTTCAGCAGTTCTAATGTTGAATCGCCGGAGAAGCAGCAAAACACCAATGAATTTTGCGTCAGTGATCCACTCTGACCCTGCAAACTGACATGGGATTTGTATGAAAGTAGAGTACCCCAATTCCATCCGCATTGCCACAACTGGCGGGTTTACCCCAGTTCCAGTCCATCTGCTGGTTCATCATGATATTCCGTAGTAGATTGCCACGGCGGGTTTGCCCCAGTTCCAGACACCCACATCATATTGTTGGTTATATATCTCATTACATCTTAACCTGCATTGCTTAACCTCTTGTAAACTAATATAGATGTGGAAAACCCACCATTTTTTGAATATTTTCCTGAGGAAACCATGGGTTTTCCACATCAAACCGTTGATACATTTCTGATCATTTCTGGTTGTTTCAAACGACCCTCCGGTATTTTTTTTACATAGCTATGGCAGCCATGGCCCATTTGCTAAGGTGATCTTCAAACGGTAATTTCCATCCCCCCAAGATGGACATTTGGGTGAAACAAAAAGGGTCCGGAGCATTGTATTCTTTAGCAATATCGCAATGGTTTACAATGTATCCCATATGCTACATGTCTGGAATAGTTGATCAACATTTGCCCTAAAAAAAATGCCCAAATGCAAACACAGTGAAATACCATACATGGAGCATATGAGCGGTGTTCAAAAACCCTCTACCATTCCATTCTACTGGTGTATGATAATCCTCGCTATATTGGGTAGTAAAACTCCCTGTTATATTCATTCATCAACCAACAATGGTTTTGAACACTGCTCATATGGCTTTGTTTGAACATAGAGTACCCCCAATTCAGATGGATCATCACTATTTTTAAGACTTTCCCCAATGGCCATTTGGTGAGCATCCCCCATTTTCAGACACACACATAAACCATCTAATATCATACTGCTTGTTAAAATGATATTCTGTTATATCCCACTACATCAGTAAATATCCCGTAGTATCCCAATATACATATATATATATATATAGACATAGACCCCATATGATCCCATAGTATATTATAGCAACCCCCCAAAAAAGATGTTGAAAAGTATTTGCAGGATATTAAACAACAGTGATGTTTCCCCCGTCATTTCTAGGTTTTAAAAATTGTTTTTTTTTCCTGGTATCGTATATATATATATTTATATATATATTTATAAAAATACATATATATATAAATATATATATATGTATAAATACATATATATATATAAATATAAATATATATATATGGGTACGAGTCAAAAATCGGGTATGGATCGCTCCGCGGTGATCCGTACTATGGATCGGGAGTGTTTACGTAGGGTGCCTGATCCGTACCCTTTCGTAAGAGCTCATCATAGCATACAAACTGTGCTGATACTCCTACTTGCTATTACCTCTCCTCCTGCTACTGTTGCTGCTGAAACTGTTGCCACTGCTAGTAGAGGGAGCAATTTAAAAAAAGGCCAGCACCAGCAGCAGTAGTGGCAATAGAAGGGGAAGATGCAGTAGCATGAGAAAAAGCAGTAGCAGTATAGTACTAGTAATAGCCATGTAATAGTCATTATAAATAGTAGTATAATGGTAGTAGCAGCAGCAGCAGCTGCAGTAGTACTAGGAGTAGTCGGAGTAGGAGTAGGAGTAGGAGTAGGAGTAGGAATAGCAACAGCAGCTGCAGTAGCAGTAGTAGCAGCAGCAGTAGTAGAAGCAGAAGTAGCAGCAGCAGCAGAAGTAGTAATAGAATCGGGCTTTCATATTGGCATTTGTTGTGGCGTGATTGGGTTCGGGTATGGATCGGGTATGGATCGGGACACGCTATCTGGGCCGGCTTTCCCGCTGTGGCTGTGAAGGAAGAGAGTGACGTATTTCTAGTCTAGTCTAGTTCTACACACGACTTCTACACGTGCCAGGCAGAGCAGCAACAGAAGGAGTTGTGATATGTTGTTTTCATAGGGTCACTAGAAGTACAAGAAGCACCTAGTGGAACTAGAACCGGTCTTACTAGCCTCCAAGGTGCACTTGCAATATATTGCTAGTAGCTAGTCAGCTAGTTGCATTTCTCCAACTATCAGAAGCACACGGAGGAAGTGAACCAGCACCAGCAGCGGGAGCAGGAACAGCAGAAGCGACAGCAGTAGCAGCAGCTCCTGCGAGGAAGATGACTAGTAGTGGCGGCAGCAGCAGCAGCAGCAGCCGCCGTGGAGGCAGCAGCGGCGGCAGCGAGGCAGCGGAGGCAGCGGAGGTAGCAACGGTAGTAGCAACGGTAGTAGCAACGGTAGTAGCAACGGTAGTAGCAACGGTAGTATCAACAGTAGTATCAACAGTAGTAGCAACGGGAGTAGCAGTACGAGGACCAGAAACAGTATTAGAATAAAAAGCAGCATTAGGGCCAGCATCAGCCTTTCTTCAACGAGAAAGGGGTCTTCAACGAGAAAGGGGTATGGATCAGGGGTATGGATCAAGGGTATGGATCATGAAGTATCATAGGGTATGGATCAAGGTACGGATCGGGGGTATGGATCGTGTGTGGGCCCGGGGCCTTGATCCATACCTTGCATTTTGACTCGTACCCATATATATATATATACACACATATTATAGCAACCCTCAAAATTACCATAAACATCATATAAATATTCTGATAACCTTCACTCACGTGGTAACCTTGCCCCCCGATAACCTTACCATAAATATGCCACAAATTTATACCACAAATATAGCACACATATACCATAACTTGGAACCCCCCAGGGGCCTGAAAGGTGCGCGTCACCCGGAGCTCCGCTGTCGCTGCGCCGCTGGAACAGCTCACGTCGTTCCAGACCTGGTTCACATGTTGAAACATTGTTTAAACCATGTTTAACGATAAAAATTGAAAGTCAACCAATTAATATAGGGGGGTTGATGGGTATAGAATTGGACATTTGATGATGGGATAATATATATATATATATACATAAACCAATGTGATATGACATATAGGGGTGTCTGAAAATGTAGGATATGTACTGTAAAATAGAGCGATATGATGATTTTTGATAAGGAAACTTTGATAGGGAAATGATGATCAATCAACCATGGTTGATTTTGGGTGCCTTATTTGCAACCCTTATAGCTGGCCTTGGTGGAGGGAATCTCTTCAACTTCGAAAGTTACTTTTCCCAACCTCCCTCCAGCTCAAGGGTACACGTCTCATCACGTCTCCCTCAAGAAAACTGATGTTGCTTCAGATTGACCATAATTATACGGTTGGGGTTATATATGTAATAGACTGCCAGTCTTCTATTTTATCTCATTTGGTGCCAGAATTAATCAATAATTTGATTTGTTGGAACTGCAAAGGCTGCATCGGAAAATCCATCGGTCCCGTACAGTACAGATTCACCATTCCCTCGTTGCTGGCTCAGTGCCACGTAGCTGGCTCAATGCCTCGTTGCTGGCTCAGCGCCTCGTAGCTGGCTCAATTTTTTTGAACGAAAAAAAACAAACGCGAAAAAATTGAGCCAGCTACAGCTACATGCCCTTGAGCCAGCTCGGTATGCCGTCATCATCCCGGCCAATACATATTCGTTTTTTAGCTTTCACATTCGTTCGCCAGCTCAACGTGACGTAGCTGGCTCAATTTGTTCGACGTTTTTTGTTGTTTTTTCTCTTTTTTTTTCGGTCAAAAAATTGAGCCAGCTCGATGCCATCGAGCTAGAGCGATGTGTTTGAGCTAGCGCGTTGTTGCTGAGGTAGCTCGTTCCACTTGAGCGAGCCCGTAAATTTTTCCGAATGTGTTCAATTGCCAGGTTCAGTCCCAAATGATTCGTTTAATAGAGATGGTACCCCTGTTGCAGCCCAGAAATTTAGGAGCCACGTTTTGGGCCAAATCTGCTTAGACAGCGGCACAACATTAAAGTCAACACATGACCCCTTCTGAAATTGAGCCAGCTACATGTTTTGAGCTAACTGGAAAATGAGGAAGATTGTGGATTGCTACATTCAACAACTCAGGGGTCCTCTTTGCGGTGACTTCGCCAACCAAAAAAGTGGAGATTTCATGGGATTTCCACCAATCAAAAATAGGGATTTGATGACGATTCATGCTAGACATGAAAACGTGTTGGTGATTTCCGTTTCACATGGCAAATCCCCAGTTTGGTATGAAAACTACCCCATTTTCAGACACATCCACTTGACCACTGATTGATTCACCAAAAAAAATACACGGAAAAAAAATGACACCAAAATTCAACTAAGCGGCCACCAAATCGGAATCTGATGGGGTGAAGATGAACTTTCCATCAGACTTCGCTGGACTAACACCTGCAAACCTCGGCTTTGAAAAAGTGGCGACCAGAGATTCAATGATAATTTGAAGGGCTAAGTGCTTCATAACCCAGGTATATCATCCTATTGAATTGCATGTATAAAATGATATAGACATATCATTCATTGTAACTCATTGTATATACATATATAGATATATCGATAATTCTACTGCAAGCATATAATTATATATATATAATACAACTTGTCATTTATCAGCATAATAATATATCATGCCATATCATACATCATACACCATATGTATCATGCATCTTAATTACATCATTTATCGTCATGTTTGTCTCATATCATCTCATGTTGTATCATCTTATATCACACACATCAGTTGCAAGGGCTTAGATGTCAGGTCGCTAGCAGTAAAAACAAGTGGAACCTGGAACTGAAGCTGTTTTTTTGTTAACTCTTTTGCAAAGACTGCTAGGTCGCTCTGTTTCACATTCCGAACCCATGCAACAACACCTGCACATCCGCCTAGTTTTCAAGCATCTCCTCAGCGTCCCTGTACCCATTTCTTTTGGAACTTATCTTCAACCTCACCTGCCCATCCTCCCCATGTGCAAGGAACATGCGGCAAGGTCGAGCCGGCCAGCTATTGCCAGCTTTGGAGAACAGGGCCAAAGGATCTGCAAACCACAACACAGGGAGGAGTACAAAAACAGGGGTTTCATTTGCGGGGTATTCCGGCTATCCTACAGGGTCAAGTGCAGGCCAGAGTCCCAGTAGTTGCAAGGACCCCATGTGACCATAGATCAAAACCCAGGTATCCTTCTGTTCGCATCAAAATTCAGCGGGATTTATGGATTCTTGATGTTGACTAATCTGGCTATTCAGGTAGTAGCCATTTCAGGGATCAAGTGAACTCAAACCCGGGATACCCTCTAGCAAGCAAACATGCCCATGGAAAATGTTGCTATAATCCTTGCTGGGAAAAAGAAAAAAACATGTTCAGCTAGGATTATAGCAAAGAAAAAACAAATGCTATAAGCCTAGCTGGTTAGCCAACTGTTTCTATTTGCAAGAACATGTTCAGATACGACCCACGAACTTACCAAGGTCAATCCAGCTGGAAGGATCAACCATCATCAACCCATTCAACCAATCGTTCACACAGATTTATCCGTTGAAAATGGGTGGTTCACAGCGGGTAAAATACACCTGACAAATCATGGTTGACATTGACCTTCCTTAGGAAGCATCCTGAGGTTTGATTGGGAACATCGATTCACATGTTCTCCGAGATAGATTCGCCATTTGTGGCCAAAACTCACGTGTTCAGAGAAGATTCTCAAGTTGAAAAAAGAGAACACAAAGTAAAATCGAACAGATTCTCAAGTTTTAATATTATCACGAGGTAAAATCACAAATTTCATCCATGTCCATGTGTCTACTCAGAGAAAACTTGGGGGCCTGGGATCTTGGCATTCTCCGCCGGCCATAGGATGGCCAAGCCCAGCAGCCACCCGGCGTGACATGCCATGCATGGCATGGCGGACTTGTCGTCAGGCCCATGGCGACACTAACCATGCGCTGTAGAAAAAACCATGCGCTGTAATGATAGTAGCCCTGCAAAAAAATAGAAAGAGTAAAGTACCTCACTATTTTAGTGTCATGTTACCACAAAGTATCTTCTTGTGAGGTGTTTTTTTGAAGTCATCCTGGAGTAGATAGGAAAATAGAACATGTCCAAAAAAAAAACAATGGGGTATAACTAATATATATCCTAGAGTTTTTAAAACTAGAAAGGGAATACCTTTGAGATATCCTTATTCTATCTACTTCGGGATGATTATATTTATTATATTATATATTATTATATTAAGGGTACCCAATTTTAACCACCATGTCGGTATCGTCTTTCATGGCTTTCCAAGATACCATGGTTCAAGCATCTTGGACTCATATCTGAAATATGGTTGAAGCACAATTGCGATAAACAAAAAACGGTAAAGCCAGTAAACCAAGCATACAATCACTTCCATTTAGATATCAGGAACACAACTAAAGGACGGGTCCACTATATGGGTATGAGATGGTGTGGGGAAAATTAAAACCAAAGATGTGAAAAGTCAGTGGTTTCCGGAAACATCGGAAAACCAGCACTGGTCAGCTTTTTGCCTTTATGTACCGCTTGAGTTGGTTGGTGGTGGTCTACCTTGATTTTGGGTGCCTAGATTTGATGCCTTGACACCCTTGACACCTCGAAGTCCTCGGGGGTCAAGGTGGATGTTCCACGTTTCTATGTTGGTTGACTGGGGAAATATGCACCAACCTGACAAAAAAAAATATATCCTCAAGCACTGAACGTATTTCTCTTCACCCTCCTGATGATGTGTTGGTCAGCAACCTGCCAATCTGAACAAATATTGAAGCAAAGGATTTTACCCTCTGTTAAACATGGCTTGCTGGAAAATCCACCATTGAAAAATCTAGTTTCTTGATTTTCCCAGCGAACTAAACCTGCATTGAGGCCATGTTTCTTTTGTTTCGGGATTTCCCGTGGCAGGGTCTACCAAAACCCAACACCTACAAGGTGAGGAACTATGGTTTACGGCGTTTAGGGGGATATAACTTAACTCTTAATGGATGTTAATGGGCCTTGTAAAGCTATTCAAGGGGGGCATCACGGTGGATTGGACCACGAAATCATGAGTTCATCCCAGGATCAGAAATCCGGTGCGATTTGGGTGCTCTCTAAAAGTACGACTCTTCGTTAAAAATGCTGTATAGACAGTGACTTAGTATGCTAAGCAGTATGGACATCTCCATTAATGACTGAAAATCAACTAAGCAAACAATAGGCCATAGGTAGTTCAAGGCGTTTGTTTTTCTAGTGATACATCAACCATTGCAGTTGGTTCTACCGGTTGGTGGTTTCACTCGATCCCATAGATCAACAGGGTTTCAATTGATCCCAAACTCCATGGATAGCTGGGAAATCCCCGAAGGAAATGGGTAAAAGTTGTGCTGCAATGATCCAGTTGGACATGTGGTGCATCTGAATCTGCGTGGTTACTGTACACCAAACTGGTTGATTTCTTTTGGGAATGTAAATAACCCCATTCATTCATATAGGTTTGTCTGAAAATATGGTGCCCGAAAATCCTGGTTTAATCATCATATTTCGTTCAAAAATTGGACACATAGTAGACCTTGAGTCATTCCCATTTTCAGGGCCAGCGCAATAAAGACACTCCTTGGCCACAAGTTTCTTCAAGTCCTTCTTTTTTAAATCCTCTGCCTCGCCGCCCATTGAGTGATCCATGCACACACAGGGCCAACATGAAGCGAACCCAAATTCCCGGGCTGAAAAATCTTACACTCCGCTTCTCTCCAATCTTGAGTTTTTTGAGTTCCTGTCCATTCCGTTTCAATATCTCACCTTTTTCGGATGATAAAAGGTAATCTAAAACAATCTGCTGTGAATGTGCCATTATAGTATAGCTATGTATAGTTTATATAAAATTACTGGATGATTCGTTAAGTAGTTTTTGGCATGCGGCTGATACGCAGCCCTTGGAAGGGTTGTTAATTTTGAGATGTGCCATTTACGATCCCTTGGAAGGGTCGCAAATTTTAAAAATGAAGGCCGCCAAAATGGGGGTACAGGATTTGATTTTCGCCTTTGTTAACATGTTGCACATGCTGTCGTATGTTCATCAAGGGGCTGGGGGGCGGGGGGGTGTATTAATGTTCCTGACGAGTACTTCATTTACGTTACGGAACACGTTGCCGTTGTCAAATGTTGTCAACATGTTGCACATGCCGTTGTATATTCATCAAGGGGTGGGGGGTGTATTAACGTTCCTGACGAGTACTTCAGTTACGTTACGGAACACGTTGCCGTTGTCAAATGTTGTCAACATGGTGCACATGCTGTCGTATATTCATCAAGGGGGTGGGGGGGGTGTATTAATGTTCCTGACGAGTTGTCACAAGGATTACCCTCACAAGAGATTCAAGATGGCCCAAGTCAACCACAAAAAAATGTTTTTACTATAAGACTTATCATTTTCGAGGTCGTTTGTGGGGCAAATACCATAGAACCATTGCTGCTGGTATTCAACAAATGGATGGTACATGGAAACACGTCAACAAATATGAAGACCAATGTCCATGCTCCACAAGAAAAACCAGCAAGTGTACAAAAAAAAATGTTCCTCTTGGGCTTACAGTTGGACATGGCGTCATAATGTCGCCTTGTTGGAGTTTGTGGCTGCTGCGTTGCCAAAAGCACTCGAGCACTGAAGCTTCGAGAAGAGGAAAAAATGGATGGGTGGATGTTTGCCTGGGATGATTGAAAATCATAATTTTCTAATGTTTTTGTTTTTAACCCTTGAAGAACAAAATCGATTCACCGCGCAGGCGAAACGCAAATTTTGACACTTGAGTCACTCGCCTGCCAATCGACATGAATGTCCACATTGCAAACATTTTTTGACAAGTCCCACAAATACAAGCATTTTGTCTCTCAGCCTCAAAAGTCTGAATTTCAAATTCATCACCTTTACAAGGGCGGCGAGTCAACCGGTTGCCGTTTTTCTGTGTGAATTGTTTGTTGAGGATGTTGCGGTTGATTGGATTGTTGACTGGACTGATTTATAACAAAAAAAATGTTGAATGTTTCAACCTTGTATCCTCTGCCATTTACTCCTTAGCCTATTAGGTGGCAAGTCTTTAAGTGGTTTTTGGGGACTGGTTGGCTGTTGGATTTTCTGGGATTGGGGTTGGGGTGCAACGTCTCAGCACTGAAATCTGTTCTTCATACAAACATTGGTTTGACGGTGTTTTGATAGATTTGATTTGATGACAGCGTCCGCAGTCTGGGCATTGGAAGGGTTTTGACAATTTCTTTTGATAGTATTTCAAAAAATTGTTTGGGTCTAACAATCTAACGATTCTAACGGTGTCTTGTCATGTGTTCCATCTTCTATCAGGCTGCCTTCTTGTGGAACACTGGATTGGGGGGTCTGGGATTGTGGCTGGTGGAGTGCTTCAACCATCTGGTCAAAGATGTCCTCATCCATTTCTTGTTTCTTTCCGTCAACATACATAAAACAACGCATATTCAATTTTTGATTATATAAGTCGACTTGTCTTTAAGTGTTCTTGGCCTTTGGTTTCGGGTGGGCATTTTGGGTTAAAATAAGAAGCGCTCCAAAATCGGGTTTATCCTATTAAAGAAAAAAACGTGTTTGGAGTTTGGAGCGCCTATTAAAGTGGGGTTCATGGCCTTGGACATGTTCTCTTCTATGGAATGTTGATATGGGGGTGGTCATATACGAGTGCTACGGACAAAAAAAACTGTGAGACTTGACATTGATGAAGGGTGGTACATCACAAAACAATACATAACAAAAGAATAAGAAGCCATGACACAGGGTGGTGACGAAGGGAAGTGGTGACAATGGGAAGTGGTGACGAAGGGAAGTGGTGAGGAAGGGAAGTGGTGACAATGGGAAGCGGTGAGGAAGGGAAGTGGTGAGAAAGGGAAGTGGTGAGGAAGGGAAGTGGTGACGAAAGGAAGTGGTGAGGAAGGGAAGTGGTGACGATGGGAAGTGGTGACGAAGGGAAGTGGTGAGGAAGGGAAGTGGTGACAATGGGAAGTGGTGAGGAAGGGAAGTGGTGACGAAGGGAAGTGGTGACGAGTGGTGAGGAAGGGAAGTGGTGACGATGGGAAGTGGTACGAAGGATTGGTGAGGAAGGAAGTGGGGACGATGGGAAGTGGTGACAAGGGAACTTGGGTGACTAATTGAAGTGGTGATGAAGGGAATTGGTGACTGATTGGAATTGGTTACGAAGGAAAGTGGGTGACGATGGGAAGTGGTACGAAGGGAAGTGGTCGGTGAGGAAGGGCAGTGTGTGACAATGGGAGTGGTGCGGAAGGGTATGTGGTGAAAGGGAAGTGGGTGAGGATGGAAGTGGTTCGAAGGGAAGTGGTGAGGAAGGGAAGTGGTGACGAAGGAAATTGGTGACGAAGGAAGTGGTGATCGATGGGAAGTGATACGAAGGGAATTGGTGACTTTGGAAAGTGGTGACGAAGGGAATGGTGACGAGGGATTGGTGATGAAGGGAAGTGTGACGATGAAGTGGTGACAAGG